ACTTTAAGCTCCAAATTATTAAATAATTATTTTAGGACCCCATGGCTGGCCAGTAGCAGAGCTAAGCTTTAAAGCCAGGTCTTTTGCCTCTCTGCCCCATGCCCTTAACAACTATATCAGAGATCTTTACAATGACCCTAGTCATCTCATCCATCTGTAAGGGAGCTCAGCTCCTGTCACACCTGTAGGGAGGTGATACAAATTCTTGAAATCAGGACTAGAGCGTGAGCACCTTCTGCTCCAGTCCTTGGATGATCTGGCTTTGCTCCACTCAGACAATGTTCTGCATAGTGTCGAATTCTCTCCAGCATTTCCTACAACCTGAGGACCTCTGCGCTGCATCCATATGCAATGCTTTCTCTGTGGGTCCTGCACACCGATGTTAAGAGTTTCGCTGCTAGGACAAGCATTTGGGATAGTCAGCTCACAAAAAGAAAAGGTTCATTTGGGTTGACAGCTGTGCAAGTTTCAGTCCATAATCAGTAGGGCCAGGGCCTGCTGCTCTGGGGCTTGTGGCGAGGAGGTACATCATAGAACCCCCTTCATCTCACTGTGGGAACATGATAGAAGAAAGGGGTGTCCAAATATACCCTTGGAGAGCACAACCTCAGTGACCTAAGAGCTCTCACTAAGCCCCGCCTGTCTTAGGCTCCACCACCTCTAGGGAAAGACTAACATCTGGGCTGTGGGGAATGTTCTGTACCTAAAAAGAGAAGTACCCAAGGTGTACAGTTCTCTCAATCCTTGTTCATCTGTAGCTTCGTTGCAAATTGAAAGCTACAATTTCTAAAAAAGAATATGAACACAAAATGGAAGGAAACCATGACCTGGGCATTATTTTACTGTGAGCTGGCATTAGACTGATTCTTAAATATACAGTGACTGCCCCCACATGGATGTCAACTCCAAAGAGCTCAGATGATTTCTGAGCAATAAGGGAATGTAGTTTTCCACGCAGCCCAGCTCCTGGGCCCCGACAGAGACAGTGACTAAGTAGAGACTTTTGCCTCTTTACCCTGCAGCTAATTTGGTTCAGTGAGTCCAGTGATTGATTGTGGAAGCAGAAATTCCTAATGGATGCTGGCGCAAGGTCTCATTTTTCCTTTAGTGTATTTTTGCAGTCTTCATGGATATTTTTACATGAAGTTGAGAATAAATAAGTCAGAGACTGCTAGCTTGGGGGCATGTTCACTCCACATCTAACAGACAGCTGTATCACACCACGGTTTGCAGGTCGGTGTTAGACTGACTCTTAAATGTGCAGACTATCCCCATATGTGACATATAGTAAGCAAAGCCAGCCCAGTCTTCTGACATGTATTTCCTAGTCCCTTTCCTTGAATGTGTGAAGTTCTCATAATGAGCCCTTTAGAACAGGTTATTTGTTCTATGACAATTTTAAAATGACACGTTGTAAAAGCACTGGACTAAAAAACTGTGACTATCAGAAAGAGATACTGAGGATGAGCCGAGGTGTTTTCTTGCCTCGAAAAGAGGCTGAGGAAGCTGAGCCAGCCAGGTCGAAGCGACCGCAGAGGTTCTGCTGCTCTTGGGAAGTTATGTTGCATAGAAAAAAGGCTTTGTGAATTGTGGAGCCTCCTGGCATGCATATAATTTCTGCTTTAATAATACTGAGTTAAGGACATTATAAAATACAATCTGATTTTTCCCTTTCCAGCAGCACCCAAAACACTTTTACCTCTGTGGTCAAAGCTATTACAGAATACAGAGCTTAGAAATGTATTTGGCATATTAAATGTGTCATTGGTGATTCCGAACTACACTAAGTATTCTATTTCCTGTGTTCATGTCACCCCTCAGGATGGCTGGCTAAATGTGTCAACATAAAATCATCCTGCTTTATTTATGTGTTTACACAACATTAGGTTCAAAGTAAAGGAAATTTCTCTCAATGGTACACACAGGCCTCACCCAATTAGTTGAAAGCTTCAAGAGCTAAAATGGAGGTTTCCCAAAGATAGAATTCTGCCCCGAGACTATAACATGGAAATCCTAACCATCCTTGATTGGCCAGCACAACTGGATGCATGAATTCCTTAAAATAAATCCTCCAATATATGTGTATTTCTCTGAAGAGTCCTGTCTAATACATTCCATTATCTTCAAAAGTTTTTTTTGAGTTTTGACCTTACTCAACAGTAATCTAAAGATGGGGACCATTTCTTGTGTAAGCAGGCATTCCCATATTCTAGCACCTTCTGAGATTCCAAGTACCCAATAAATAGTTGTCAAGAAATATAATAATCTCTTTTTCAAAGGCCGCCAAGTCCGGAGATGGGGGTGACAGAGGCAGGGATGATGAATGGAACAGAACCTGGGAATTCCAGGCAAAATGAAGCTGGCAGGAGGAAGCTTAACTCCTAGGGAAGCCAAGGTATGCTGAGCTAGGAAAGCCAAGGACTGGAAAGTGCAAGTGCAGGAATTTATGGTTTTACATCCAAAGCCTATTTAAAACCAAAAACAGTTGATGGTAAACAGTAGTCCTTCCACCACTGGAGGGTTAGTTACGACATCAGTGTATTTCTTGCCTCAACTTTGACAGTCCCTCTGACTGACCTTTATGAGGGAATCCTTCTCTTCCAGCAAGCTTGACAAAAACAACTGAAAGTCAGTTGAATGTGAAACTCCCATAGTGCAATTCATCTTTTGGAGGTGGGGCGTGTGTGATCAATTCGGTCTCAAATACACTATAAGTCTAGCCACAGAACTCAAAGCAAATAGGAATAGAAACAGGAACCACAAAATACTCCACTCTAGAGGGGGAATAATGCCTTTTTATAATACTGCTTTACATCAAGGACAGGCATCAGTAATTACACAGTAGCCCTAAGCCCCAGTCAGTGGGATGAGGCTAGAGCTAGGATAAGGATATTCATGGAAAAAATAAGCCCAGTGCTACATAATTGTAAGTGTGGCAGTTCGTTCATACTGTTTGAGTGGTTTTGTCTTCAAAATTAATTGAGCTGCATCAATGAATATGAAGTATTGAGATAGTATGCTTAGCTTATCATATGGGTGAGGTCAACGTGCAAACATTAAACTGACTTTTAAAGAATTATTATTCCTTTATCTCTGTGCATGTAAAAGAATCCTCCACCTCAAGGAGCATATACACATAGTGTTATTCTATAGATTAACTGGCTCTTTGATACCTTTCTCCAAAATGTTATTTTACAGGACACTTTCATCTGTAAAAGGAACAGTGACTGAATATAGAAAATGCTAATAGCAAAAGCCACATCAGCCATAGCACAGAGCTGGAACCCAGTGATACCTTGCAATTAACAAAATTCAGCAGTACTTTCTGTTATCTGTTCACTATCAAGGTAGGACTCTATGTTCAAAATAGAACATTCTAAGGCCGGCCAGATAGCTCAGCGGACTGAAGTGCCTGGTTCCACAGAGCACAATGGCTGGGGTTTGATTCCCAGTGTGCTGGGCTGGCCCCACCCCTGGAGTGCACTGAGACCACGATTGAGACTGGGCATGGTGGCGCTCGCCTGTAATCCCAGTGCTTGGGAGGCTCAAAACAGGAGGTTAACTACTAGTCCAAGCTACATAATGAGACCCTGTAAACTCTGTAGACCTTGTCCTAAATAAAAAAAAAAAGGGGGGGAAGAAAGAAAAAGAAAAAAAAAATAGAACATTCTACACTCTACAGAACAAGACAGTTGAAAACATCAACCTCAGAATGTAGCAAGAAACAGGAAGACAGGGGCTGGAGAGATGGCTCGGTGGTCTAAAGCACCTACTTAGAACAAGCTTAGCAAAGCATCAGGGACCGCGGTTCAATCCCCCAGCACCACATGCCAGCCAGCCCCGCCC